AAGCAGTTGGGATAAATTGTTGTCTCACTATCAGTGGCCCCACAGTTTGTCTCAGCCTTGAAACTGTTGTCCACATTCAGATGGCCTAATTTGGTCCTATGCTGGTCCCCTCAGTGTCAGGTTGGAGATGGTGGGATATCATTAGCTCAAGTAAGCTGTTTCAGTGGGTATCCCTATCATAGTCTTGACCACTTTGCTTATATTCTCACTCCTCCTACTCTTTGACTGGACTTTGGGAATTCAGTCCAGTGCTCCGCTGCGGATCTTTGAATCAGAAGAAGATAATTTGATCAATAAATTCGACCTTTTAAAGTTAAATTAATGTTAAGTAAGCAAAATAAAAAACCAATAACCTCAATGGATTAGAAGCAGTAATTATGAGTCTCCCAACCATAAAAAAAAATAAGAAAAACTTAGGGCAAGACTGTTTTAGCACAAGACTTCTCTGTGACTTCCAAAAGTGAGTTAAGCCCATGTCTTGGCCTGTGTTCTATTGTGTGATGAGACACATGAACATGGAAACTCCTGTAAAGGAAAGCATTTAATGGGGGCTTGCTTACAATTCAGAGGATTAGTCCATTATCATCATGGTGGGGAGCATGGTGCAATGAAGACATGGTGCTGGAGAAGGAACTGAGCGTTGTGCATCCAGATTCACAGGCAGCAGGAATGGAGCGAGCCACTGGGCCTGGCTTGGACTTTTGAAACATCAAAACCCACCCCCAGTGACACACTTCCTCCAAACAACTATCAGCACTTAGTTAATCAAATAGTATCACTCTTTAAACATTCATATCTATGAGACTCTGAGGTTCAGTCTTATTCAAAACACCACTCTACAATATTTTTCAAATTATTCACTAAATTAAAAAATGAAAGAATACTTCCTATTTTTTTGGTGACTTCCAATTAACCTGATACATAAACTACATAAAGACCCAATAAAGAAAGAGGATTCAGATAAATTTCCCTTAGGAACATAGATGCAAAAGTTTATACCTTCTAACCCAATTCAAGAAAACAGCAAACACATCATTCACCATGATTAAGTAAAGTTCATCCTAGAGATGCAAGGATGATTAAAAACACATAAATTGATAAAAAAATAAGCCATATAAACAGACTGAAAGACAAAATGCCGCATGATCATCCCATTGGTAAAGAAAAGGACCTTGACAAAATCGGAAAACCTTCATGAGAAAAGTCTTGAAAATATTGGGGTATAAGGTACATAACTAAACATAATAAAGGCAATGCCTCCTGGGTCTCCTTCAAATTCCTGACCTCTTTATTTGTTAATTGTTATTGCATGCATTTATGTATTTGTATATAAATATGTAATTAGATTTTATTATCTATGTGTAACTAAGTTTTAGAATCATAAGTGTCTATTTTTATTCAGTAATACAGGAAACAGGATAAAACCTTGCAAGTTACCATTCCTTAGAAAATTGTACAGGACAACAGTGTTTTCCAGTCACTCCCCTAAACACTAGCTAAATAAAAATCAAGTGTCTAAATGCTGCAAATTTACATTGAAAAATAAAATAAAACATTTGCTATTTTAAAATAAAAAAAGAAAATGTTTAGTAGGGGTGGATTGCTTACATCTTCAGAGGTTCAGTCCATTATCAGCATGGCAGGGAGCAACATGGTGGTGTGCAGGCAGACATGGTGCTGGAGAAAGAGCTGAGAGCCCTACACCTTGGAGGAAAAAAAAAGTTGACTGAGTTTCACACTGAGTGAAAGAGACCTCAAAGTCCACCATACAGTGACACACTTCCTTCAACACCTACACCCCAAGTCCACACCTCCTAATGGTCCCACTCACCTTGAGATTATGGGGGTCCTGATCATATTCAAACTACCACAAAGTCTTTATGGAGCAGTAAAATAACTGAAGGAGATTGAGGAGACACAGATAGGAAAGGAGTCAAAGCATCTTTATTTGCAGATGCTATTCTTAGTTTCCAACTTTTCTACTTCTGGAATTAACTAAACCCCCAAAATGATTAGAGATTCCTGTGCAAGATTCTTTCTTAATTAAATCATTAGAAGTGGAAAACTCACTTTTTCTCTGGATATCTGAGGTAGGCACATCCAACTTTAATCTGGACCACACCTTGGCTGGCAGTGTATTTAAAGGACATGAAAAAGAGAGGATTGCTTTCTCTTTGCCTGCTTGCTCTTGCTGTTGCCAGACAGATCATTATTGCACTGGCATTTGATCCTGTTTCTTCAGGAATTCAGGATATACCAAAGAAAAGTTCAGACATCCAGCCTTGTGATAGAACAGCCACTGGATTTTTGTACTTTCCTATGGTAGACAGCAATCATTGGATTAGCTGGGCCACAACCTGTAAGCCATTCTAGTAAATAAGCTTTCTATAGAGATATGGATTCATTTTTTATGTTCTATTACTCTAGAAAACCCTAATAAAGATTATATCACATGATTTGAGTTCGGTAGTTACTAACCTTCCTAATGTTGTTACCCTTTAATATAGTTCATGGTGTGGTCACCCTCTCAATCATAAAATTATTTTTGTTGCCTCTTCATAACTGTAATTTTGCTACTGTTATGAATCATAATATAAATTTATGATATTTCTTAAGTTCTTAGGTGACCTCTGTGAAAGGGTCATTCAACCCATAAAGGGGTTGTGACCCACAGGTTGAGAACCACTGTAGTAAAGCTTCTACCAGGAAGTTCCTACAGCTGATAAAAACTTTGGCAAATTAGCTGGATGCAAAATTAATTCATAAAAAAGTAGCCTTCCCATTTATTACAAATAAACTCTAAAATAAAATAAAAATGGAAAATTCAATTCACAATAATTTTGTGCTGCAGGTAAACTATACTTAGGATAGAGAGTTAGAGCTACAATAGGATATTTAAATTATTCTTGATGACTGAGAGTAGATTAAAATCCCTTGAAAGAAAAACACAAAAATTAAACATCAGAAGGAGCTTCCTTTGAGTAACCTCAGCATCAAAGGAACATTTATGATATAAAGTCAAAACAAGAGAGTAAGAGAATTCCTGTGGAAATACCAGGACTCTATACTACTTGGCAACAAAAATGTCATAAGATTATACATGTGTTCCTATTTTGTGTTTTGATTATTAAAACAAAGACTTCTTGAAATTTGCATGCAAATGGATGGAAATAGAAAACACTATTCTGAGTGAGGTAAGCCAGACCCAAAAAGAGGAACATGGGATGTACTCACTCATATTTGGTTTCTAGCCATAAATAAAGGACATTGAGCCTATAATTCGGGTTCTTAGAGAAGCTAAATAAGAAGGAGAACCCAAAGAAAAACATATAGGCATCCTCCTGAATATTAACCTTCATCAGGCGATGAAAGGAGACAGAGACAGAGACCCACATTGGAGCACCGGACTGAAATCTCAAGGTCCAAATCAGGAGCAGAAGGAGAGAGAGCACGAGCAAGGAACTCAGGACCGCGAGGGGTGCACCCACACACTGAGACAATGGGGATGTTCTATCGGGAACTCACCAAGGCCAGCTGGCCTGGGTCTGAAAAAGCCTGGGTTAAAACCGGTCTCGCTGAACATAGCGGACAATGAGGACTACTGAGACCTCAAGAACAATGGCAATGGGTTTTTGATCCTACTGCACCTATTGGTTTTGTGGGAGCCTAGGCAGTTTGGATGCTCACCTTACTAGACCTGGATGGAGGTGGGTGGTCCTTGGACTTCCCACAGGGCAGGGAACCCTGATTGCTCTTTGGGCTGATGAGAAAGGGGGACTTGATTGGGGAGGGGGAGGGAAATGGGAGGCAGCAGCGGGGAAGAGACAGAAATCTTTAATAAATAAATAAATTAAAAAAGACTATACATGTGTAATAGCACAGATTTTCTTTAAATCATTAAGAATCTAGATTTATTACTTTAACTATTAAACAACTTAAGAAAAATCTGTGTTTTGGAAAAAATAATTGCAACTGCACCAGAATGATGCCTTACAACCATCTGTAAGTCCAGTTGAAGGGAGGGGGGGCAATAGCCTCTTCCGACCTCTGTGGGTACCAGGAATTCACACATAAATACATGTTGATGCAATACTCAAACAAATATATAAAAGTAAATTAATCATTTTATTTTTATTTATTTATTTGCCGTTTCATCAGTACTTTATTGGGACACAACAACACAAACCATGTATCATGCGGGTAAGTTTGACATGACAGAGTTAAACGGTTCCCGAACACCACGTGCCAGACAAGGCTTATAATATTTACCATGTAGTGCTATTTATGTATGATGCAGTGTGCCTACTCCTCACTCAGAAGTCTGGAGGACAAGAGTATTAGGCTTCTATTTCAGTTGCCATACCTCCCACCGAGCAGGGGTTAATTAACCCATATATGTTGAAAGAACTGGAGGGGTCAGAGCTCCACCCTGCCTTCTTGGATGACTCTTTTTGTCAGGGCAGGCTAGACAGAAACAAAGGAAGCTCAAAGATGATCATACTGGAAGAGAGGCATCAAGACTGGAATCTCAGGCCTAGGTTCAGCCCAAGAATCCCTTGACGCTTGCCAACCCTCAGCAGTTGGGGAAGAAGAGTGCAGGGATGGTTAGGGCCTTACCCAACTTTCTGAAAGCCACAGCTTTGCTTGGGCCTCAGGTAACCTCCCCGCCCGACCCCATGGCCATTCTCAGGGAGAATCCCCCTCCTCTGCTTCCCTAACAAAAATGGGCTGGGCTGGATCCTGGACTGCAGCAGGTGGGAAAGAACCCAAACCCTTTCATCATTTACCAGGAAAGAGTTGGATGTGCCTGATGCCACATCACGGTTAAACTGGACAAATCAGAGTGTGCCAGCTGTGTAATCACAGATTGCGCGTGTGCATACCTGGAGCTTCCATGTATAAGGAGGGACTCAGATACAACCAAGGTCTTTGATCCCTAATGCCATCAGACAAGGTCCTCTGTTGAAAACACACCTCTGCCTTCAATCTTGTATCAACTTTCACCTCTCAGCCCCCAAACAGAACGCATTTGCCTCTCCCTCCCTCCCTCCTTCCCTTATACCGAAGCCCTCATCTTGGCTTCCATGGGTCCATGGCAGGCAGATTCTACTTAAAAGCTGGGTTCTTGAGTTTGCAATAGTGCCAGGATTCACAAGTTCCAAGTACTGAAGGGCTTCTAGTAGCTGTTCCCGGGCAGCACCAATGAAGGAATTCTCCAGGAAGGTGGGCAGGCCTCCTACACCATCACGAAGGATGTACAGAGGCACCCGCACCAGGCCCAGGACCTCTAGCCCGTGGTCCTTCGCTTGAGGTGCCCTGGCTTCCACGGCCTGCAACTGCTCCTGCGTCAGGCGCTTGGCATAGAAATGGGCCACCACGCACTGTCCATCCACAAGGTGTGAGCTCCGATAGTCGGAGCGCTCCACGCGGAAGGTGGCCACCGCGTCGCCCCGCTCCTTGCGCAGTTCACGGTTCATCCAGTCCAGGCTGCTGCCCTGCACGTCCACGAAGCTGCAGGGGAAGCCTATGCGCTCATCGAAGCGCATCTGCATCAGCACCGAGAAGCGCAAAGGGCAAAGGGAAGCAGCCTAACAGCTTGCGAGGGCCGGGCGCGTAGAGCAGCGCATGGCAGGCATGGCGCCAGCCCTATAATCATTTTATTGAAAAGGAGAAAATCACCATTTTAAAAAACTATGGTGACATTTTGACCTCAGGCTTTTCAGCATATTGATTATTCTGATATCATAACTGATTTGTACCAAAGGAGTAATTGTGGGATAGACATTCATCACAAACTTCTGAACACTCAGGGTGACTGGGTCATACATCCATAACAGGACTGCAAAGGATGATATGATGAAGTTCACCCAGTACATGACCACAAAGAAAATCACCAGCAGCAAGATGGTCTGTGTGGCCCTTTTCTCAGGAGACACACTTGGGTGGCTGAGACTGTGAAGATGCTTGCATCTCCTCTGATGTCTGAACAAGATAATCACCATGTATGCACTTGTGGTCAGCATAACTCCTACAAGAAATACATCTCTGGACATTGTCACTGTTAAAATCAGTGCCCTGATGATGTAGTTCATGGAGAAGAGTGAGCAGAATTTAGTGACCTTCATCTGCTTGGTCTCACTCACGTTGGTAAAAGCACCAGCATAGAAGATGTGGTTGCTAACGAATGACAAGTTGAAAGACCAAATAAATAAGACAGCATATTTCACATATTTTTTTAGTTTATATTTAAATTTTGCCAAGAAAGAGGAACTGGGACTGATAGTGACAGCCTGGAACACACTCAGGAGGCAGGTGATGCAGATGGAGAGGCCTCTCATCACTCTGTTTACGTAAAAAGTTGTCTTACATTTGAAGTCATTCTCAATGTCCAGTGACTCAAATATGTCCCAAAGCCAAGTATCTGCTCCAGTGAGGACCAGCACTATGTGGATGAAGGCCAATTGACAGGAGATCATGTCTGTGGACTTAGGTCTGTGACCTAGGATTATGAAAGTGTAGAAAAAAAGGAGAAACAAATTGGCCAGTACTCCAAGTCCAGCTTGGAAATTGAGGACATTCTTCAACAAGGACATAAGTGGAAAGTGTATTCATCTTACATCACATTAAAAGCGTATTTCATATATCTGAAAATGATAGAGTATACAGCAGACTTGTGATTCAATGTGTCTATATCATCACTCAATTGTCCCTATTTATTCTTGATTAACCTGTTTCTTTAACTTTGGATGTTCCAGTCTGGATATCATAGCCCACATTTCTATATATTTCTGCATGTATCTACCTGCGTTTGTAGCATTCTAGAGACGATAAAGGCATTTACAGTCACATCCTACACAGAATGCACAGTTTGTGGGCCTTAGAAATCTAAACCTATTGATTTGCATTACCTCGTTTTATAGTTAACAACTAAAACAGTAGTGATGAACACAGAACATTAGTTACATTTTTACAACTGAGTAAAACTTACATTGATCTGGAAAATATTCACAGAAGAAATCCAAATTTCTTCTGCATAATTTTAATATGCTCTATTTAGCAAGTTTCTATGCTTTCAGTCATAATTCTACTTGAAACACAGTAATAATTTATGATAGTCCCATTATTTTAATCATTAAAATGTTCATCTTTATTTATATTTTCCTGTTTTTATGTTCCCTTTTCTGTGAAATTTTACATCTCCTGGATCGGAATTAAGAAATAGATAAGAGGTGGAGGCTATTATGACATTTGCACACCTTATTAATTAATTGTCATTAATTATGGTTATAAATGGTCTTAAATATCTACCTATGCAGTTTGTATTCCATCATCTTTTGAAACACTAACTTCAGTTAAAACAACTAAGACCCAGCCATCAAGACAAACATTGGTTTTTCTTTTATTGAGGATGTGAGAAAATGATTAATAGTAAGATTCCTTATGAATTTTCTCTTTCTGTCTTATTACTTTTTCAGCCATCCATATTTTTATTTTACCTACCTCCTTCTTCTGTGTTTATCTCCCTCCATCTTACCTAAGAACTCTCCATTACATTTTCCCTATCAGCTCAATGGTATTCTGTTTCTCCCCTATACATCCTCCCACCATTTGCATATTTACTTCTGTCCTCTCCCTCTTTAAGGATCCCCCCTCTTCAATTTCCCTCCTGAGATCACTTGTAGCCTGCTATGCTCCTTTCTAATGCTCCACACACCACCCCAGTCATTGTTTGCTCTGGACTCTGAAGTTACTACAGGCTACATACTCACATCTGAAGATGTGGAGCTAGGAGTCTCCAAAAAGAGTGAACACGCTAAGACAAACACTATTTTCAACACATTATGACAAACACAAACTTGCCAAAGATGACCAGATAGTGATCCCGTTTTGGAATTTCTGTTTTTTTTTTTTTTCCAAATAGTAGTTAGTTCAAGCCTTGGTCCCCAAACTTAAAGAATGGTAGACCAATGACATTTACAAAATTGAAAATGTACAAATCGTATATGTAAAATAATTTTCATTAGTTGTACATCTATAATATATCAATATAGCTCATGTATTATATATAATATAAATAGATGATACGATGAAGGGAAAGGTAGTAATCTAAAATTTTTCCTTAGCCCAAAGATATGCCCTACAATCTGCAAATTTTATATGCATTGATTTGTAAATATCTATGACTTATAGAAAATCAAGCATCTCCTAAGTCATCATCTTTCTGTGGAGCTCACTCTGACTGAGATTTAACCAGAAAGGATCATATCTACCATTAATAAAAACTAAACTAATAACAAATAAATGCAATGAGAAAGGGTATTTGTTTTACTTGAAAAAGGAAATTACAGTGATGGGGGCTTTATGTCAGTTTTGGTTGCAACATTTAGTTGTCAGGACTAAAACATGAGGTGTGGCCATAAATATTCACAATATACAGAGGCCATCAATATTAAATTGACCCAGACCTAGAGACCAAGCAGACTCCAGGCAGCTGTCTGAGGAGATGTGCAACAATAAAAACCTAGGGCTGCTTATGGATACATAGCTCTACATTCTTACAAGAAAAATCACTTTACCCTTTCATTATCAGAGTACTTGATTTTAGGACAGTTTTGTTTTAAGACTTATGTGATCTTTGTATTCTTGATGGAGAGTAATAACAAAATGAACATAAAACATACTAGATCAAAAGTATCATTTTCATTTAAGTCTTGCCATATTTAGTGAGTAATGACCTAAATGCAGTGTGACTGCGCAGAGAGAACATGGAGTGACTATGTGACTTTCAGGTGACAAGATACACGGTGTTGGCTGATGTGCTGTCCACTGTCAGCAACATTAATAAGTCTTCAGGATCTCAGGAAGATGAAGACCTTACACACTCATATTAGGCTCATGAGGAGATTTTTATGAAATAGATATCCAGTAAGAATAGTGATTACTTATTTAAGGTATTAATTCATAGCACTTGCATAATACTCTTAAATAATTTTAAAATATAAGTTACTCTGTAGAAATTGAATTTAACTCACCAGCCACTGGAAGCACACAGTCGCTCACTAGAACTTTACAGCCTCACACTTTCCAGCCAGTTCCCCTGCGATGAAGCCGCAGCATCAGTGTCACTGCAGAGCCTGTGGGGAAGCAGTCAGACCCAGAGCTCCATCACAGGACACACGGTGGAAGTCTGGGAAAGATGTGAAAGTGTTCACTGGAAGTGTGTGTGTGTGTATGTGTGTGTGTGTTTGTGTGTGTGTATGTGTCTGTCTGTCTGTCTCTGTCTCTGTCTCTCTCTCTCTCTGTGCGTGTGTGTGTGTGTGTGTGAGTGAGTGAAATGACTAAAATAGGTCAATAGTGTCTTGTGTGCTGAGGCTGCTCATGAATATGTGTACAGCAATTGAATGAAAAGCTGAGAGTTCTATCAAATATGTTCATGAAATAAATTAACTTTAAGGAAAATGGGGAATGTGTATCCTTTGTGTTCTGTGTGACGTGTTCAGGTCAGTGAGGGTCCTGCCTAGTGCATCAGAACAGACATTTAATGTGCATTCTGCAAAACAGATTGAAAATTCTGTAACGTTTGCAAACATAAACTCCTGCTTCCACCACCTGTTCTCGTCCTGTTCACAGTCTGTGTCCAGTAATGAAATGACATTTACTGCCATAGTTAGTTCTATTTCTTAAACAATTTCATAATTGTACATTTTCTGATTTCCACTGTAATTCTATTGTATATGTGTGTGTGTGTGTGTGTGTGTGTGTGTGTGTGTGTGTGGAGGGGGTGCTGTCTCGACCTGAGGTCAGACTGGCTTTAATAAAACTCACAATGCCCACAACTTAGCCTCCAAAGTGCTGAGATCATAGCCATGTACCACCTTCCCTGCCTTCACTTTCCTTGCAATCTCCTGTATACATTAGTAAGTGATATTCCAGCTATATAAAGATGGACTTACGAATTCAGCAGTTAAATTTACTTGGCATTTTTTGAATGTGTATTCTAATGGGCTATTGTATTTTCTAACTATTAGAGGAAACCTTGGGGAATTTGACTTTAAACAATTTTATACTATTCAGTAATTGAAACACTTTCTCACTACTAATGAAAAGCTTAGCCAAGTAATATTGAATATCAAATAATATAATGAGTATCAATGTTGCAAAGTTCAATTTAGTAGACTTGAAATAGTCATGCGGTGGTGGCACTCGGGAGGTAGAGACAGGTGGATCTCTGTGAGTTTGAGGCCAACCTGTTATATCTATTGAGTTCCAGGACAGGGTCCAAAGCTACAGAGAAACACTGTCTCAAAATAAACAAACAAAAAAAACCTTGAAATATTAAACTTAATTTATTTTAATTAAAACACCCAATATTTTTCCAGTTTACATTTTTGTAAGAATAACTTTACAAAGATTTAATAAACAAGTGAGATGAGATTTCCAGGTATTTTTTAAACATGCTGAAAAGATTTGCTTTATTAGAAATCACTGCAATGGAGTAAACGAATATAAGTAAATACTTTAAAACTTATTTATACAATGTTAAGACCATCCTATGTTTTAGTAGGTTAAGCTGAAACTTTTCTCAGAATTCCTAAGTTATGCAAACTTGACTCAATACAAAATTACTATTAAACACTAAATTAGTTATTTGTTGTATTTTCTGTCTTAAGTTTCATATAAATAAATTTATGGTCAGTTAACTTGATAAAGTAAAATGAGGAAAAAAAGAGTATCATTTAAATGTAATATAGTACTCTAAATGTACTCCTGCAAACAGATAAATGTGTGTTCTTTGTTTTTCACCCTCTAAGCTAGACCAGGTGTTTTGTGACAAGAATGGAAAACTAAGACAGTGGGCATTACTAGCTGGAACCATGTTCTCAGAATGATTACAGAACATACAGGAAAATCCATAGTCAGATGTGATCACTAAAATATTCCATTTGGGGTCACTTTCTACATGTGTACTGGTGTACATTCATTGTAAGCATTTCTTGACACTTTCATTCAGTCCTCACACTGTTAGCCTGTCTCTCTCTATCCACACTTCTGCTAAGCCCTGTCTTCTTTCCAATAGGCCACCTTCAACAGGCACATACATTACAATCAGAGGATCATGGTAAGTGAAATCTACGTTCTTTACAAATCATTACACTGATGTGTTATGTCTACAAGCATCTGTTGCGTTTGCTTATGACACAGTGTGGCTCAAAATTAAAAATCTAAGCAGAGCATTCTCTAATCATTTCACTACTGAAAATCCATATTCATTCACCATCCACTACAATTCTCACTATTAATGAACAGAAAAACAAACAGACTCACCTGGCTGGGTCTTTGAGAAACACCATGTAGAATGACGCTCTAAGAAGCAGTTATAAGGAAGAAATGTCATTAGGTCATCTCCCTCTAGAAAAATAATTTTCGTGTAATCAGTAGAACTAAGTTCTGATTCTGAACTTGTTAGAAAGTGCAAACATCAAATGGGAAAGTGAACTTTGCTAATTCCAGGAAAACAGTGCAGTAGGAACAGCTGAGCTCTGGGTTTCCCGTGTGTGAGCTATTCTCCCCAGGCCCTACATGTCTGTGTGCATTAGCTGATCCTAGTCCT